AATTTAATAGTATTAAACCCACTTTGAGAGAATAAGGTATTTTTACGTCACTCAGAACACCTTGGTAAATGACATAATAACATAATTTTTCAAGAAATCTATGCCAAGGAAGCAGTATATTTTTGTACAATCAGCATAATATATAGATTTGACTTTGTATGTGAAAGTATTATAGTTACCTTATAATACAAGTAATAGATAAATTTTATCAAGCTTTTTTAGATGTTGTCAGTTGGTCACAAGTGGATCTCTTTCACACAGGCTGTGGGTGACTGGTTACTTTTCGTGGGTCCACTATGTAGATAATGCGTTGTAAACTGATATTTGAATTACATGAAGGAAGTTCAATTCATTATTTAATGTCATGCTAAATGTTCATGAAATCGTGACATTGAGTATATTTTTACCAATACACTTTCTAAGTCAAAAAAGGGCCATAATTCTGTCAAAAACCTTGACAGAGTTATGTACTCTTGTCTGTAGATGGAGGTTATGATGGTGAACAAGTATGGTAAGTTTCAAAGCCATACTTGTAATACTTCTGAAATAAAGTGGGGTGGTACGAAAAACTTAACCAAGGTGTGACGCCAACGCCGACGCCGGGGCGAGTAGGATAGCTCCCCTTTTCATAGAAAAGTCGAGCTAAAAATGTTTACCCATTCACTCAGTTATGGACAGAAACATTGCCAAAAAATTGTAAACACAAGTTCTATAGCTTGACAGAGTCATGGCATTTTGTAATTGTAAAATATATAAGTTGCCAAGCCATTGCTATGACTTGTGAAGTGATAAATATTCAACTTTATCAAATATATATAAATGTAAGAAATCTATACTTGGCACCCTTGACCTTGACCCACTGACACCTATAGAATATCATGCAAGTTATCTTCCTACCAAATATGAAATACACCTGTTAATAAATAAAGGCTGTATGGGCAAAAATGTTAAAATCTATTTTGAGCATTGATGACCTTGATCAAACTGACCCCTAACTCCATCCAAAGGAAGAATACCATGCAAGTTATCTTCCAACCAAATATGAAATAAATCTGTCAATAAATAAAGGCTGTATGGGCAAAAGTGTAAAAATCTATTTTTAGCACTTGTGACCTTGACCCAACTGACCCCTAACTCCATCCAAAGTAAGAATAACATTCAAGTTATCTTCCTACCAAATATGAAATATATCTGTCAATAATTAAAGGCTGTACAAAATCTATTTTTAGCACTAGTGACCTTGACACACTGATCCCTAACTCAATCAAAAGAAATACCATGCAAGTTATCTTCCTATCAAATATGAAATACACCTGTCAATAAATAAAGCATGTATGGGCAAAAGTGTAAAAATCTATTGACCTTGACCCACTGATCCCTACCCCAATCAAAGGATGAATACCATGCAAGTTATCTTCCTATCAAATATGAAATATATCTGCCAATAAATAAAGGCTGTATGAGCAAAAGTGTAAAAATCTATTTTTAGCACTAGTGAATTTGACCCAACTGACCACTAACTCCATCAAATTTTATGTTCCTATCAATTATAAATGACATCTGTCTATAGAATATGGTTAATACACCTGTAAAAATGTAAAAATCTATTTTTAACATTGGTGACCTTGACATTGGTGACATTGACCTTGACCCAAATGACCCCTTACTATACCCAAAGAAGGAGGACCTCCCTTGGCATGTTTGTATTAAACATGAAAGACATCAACCAAAAAATAAAAGGCTGTATGAGCAAAAATGTTTGAAGTTATTTTCTAAACCAGTGACCTTGACCTTGACCCTAGAGACCACTTACTCCAAAAAAAATTAGAGGACCATTAAAGGTATCCACCTACCATATATGCAAGATATCATTAAATAAATTAAGCAATTAAGAGAAATTTACGATAAATCCAACTTGCCGGAATAGGTTAACCAGACAAGGCCCTATTTTCAAAGTGAAAAAAGGGAAATAACTGGGAAATATGGATGACACAGTTATATAACTTGCCAATATCATGTACTTTGTATTGATAAGTAAGTGTGGAAATTATGAAGCCATTAGTATAGATAGAACTTAAGATATTTCCAATTTGCCATTTTAGGTTATAAACCATTTTTCATTTTCTAAGTGCTGAAAAGGGCAATAACTTGGTAAATATGGAAGCCATAGTTATGTAACTTGACCAGATCATGTACTTTGTATTGATTAGTAAGTGTGTAAACTAAGAAGCCATTGGTACAGGTAGAACTTAAGAAAAATCCAACTTGCCTTTCTAGGTTAACCTCGTACGGACAGACGGACGGCCGTCCTGCCGAAATGGAGAAAGGGGCCATTTCTTTTGTTATTTTCTAAATTTCTATTGTTTAATAGAGGGCCAATGGCCCCTTACTCTATTGTTACGGAATGAACTCTATTGTTCTCTTTTGTTCTGTTTACAGTTAAATGGCCCCCTATCCCTATTCGGTAGTGCGGACGGACAGACGGACGGACAGGCGGTTCAATTACTATATGCCAGGGGCATAAAAATCATTTATACAGCCACTTGCATACATCTATCAATCTAATAATCAGTGCAGTTTTCTTTCCAGAAATAAATGACCTCTCTTAATATAAGGATTTATTGTAGATCAGCACTGACATTTATTTTGTTACCTGAGTAACAGGCCATTTTCCGTCATCCCTCTTTTTCTGCTCTGATATAATAACCGAGCCTTTTTATCCTCAATGGATTCATTACTCCCTCTATCAACATATTCTGGAATAGGAGGTGTATGATCTGGTGGGTCCAATATTCTGTCTGACAATAATCTAGATGAATTAAACTTGGCTTGATTAACTTTCTGAAAAAATAAAACTGAAAGTGAAAAATCAAATCACTGGCAATTTCTCCTTTAGTATACAAATGGTAGTCAGACTATTCTCTCCCTTACCATTTCCTCCCCTGACGTTTCCTCCCTGACGGTTCTCTCCCTATTTTGGGGGAGAACTGTCTGCATATTTGCAAATTAGAAGACAGTTCCTCCCCATTCTTACTTTTATAATTACATTATTATTAAAGTATTTAGATGATAAATAAATGGGTAGATTTATTATGAATTGATAAAAATTAGAAAAAAATGGATTTTATTATAAATTGGTAGGTTTATTATAAATTGATATAAATTAGAGCTAGAGAGAAAAATACTTTAATGAAGTATTCTGATGTTTAATTCAAATTCAATTTTGTTAGCATCATCAGCAACAATAAATTGGTAAGTTTACTATCAAAAATTAATATGAATTGGAGAAAAAAATATTTTATTGAAGTATTTAGATGTTAAAATAAATTTGTAACTTTATTATCAATTGATATAAATTGAATTAGAAAAACTTTTTTTTTAACATATAATAATAATTGATCAATGATGATATTAGTTAATTATTCTGATTTTTTAATGAGATGTAATGTATACTTTTTAATGTGTTTAGTCATTGAAAATAATTAATGAATAATTTACTTGATTAGGATAATCATAAGATATTATTTTTGTATTATTTTTTTTTTAATAAATAAAAATGAATTTTATAGGCAAAAATGATGAATAAATTCTAATTGCTAAACTTTTGTATGATGAAAAAAGTAGTTCAGTGCACACATGAATGCGTTTAAGTTTGCTGTCAGTGAACTGTGATAATTGAGGTGTTTATTAGTGAAGTGTTGATTAGATTAAAATAGCTGTGAAAAGGTGTTGATGAATAAGTATTATATTATAAGTTAATTGGTATTATATATTGTTTCAAGTTAATGACTACATGTTTTTAAATCAATTTCGTAAAAAAGTAAATGTGGAATGTGTTTGCATACCAGTTGTTGTTTATTTATTTTCTAGAACATACTTGATTCCACCTTATTCACTATTTAACGAATGAATGAACATCACAAGCTAGACCTTAACATAATTAAAGGTGTATATCAATCACTGTCCAATTATCTATATCTCTCACAATAAAGGTGTTGATAGGATTAAAATAATGAAAAAAGGTGTTAAATTTACAAACACTTTTCAGCTGATAAACATAAAACATAAAATGCAGTTAATATCAAACACATTCTTTTAATAATCTTCATTAAGAAATATTATTAGATTAAGTCAAAACTAAAAAAATAAATTACAAAAATAAAATTGGGGGAGAACTGTCTGCATATTTCAAATTTGGGAGAGAACCGTCAGGGGAGGAAACGGTTAGGGAGAGAACCATCAGGGAGAGGAACTGGTAAGGGAGAGAATAGTCTGTCATTCTATACAAATTATGACTAGTCAGTAAGTGTTCAACAGTTCAAGAAAAGCGCATAAAATTATACATATGCAAAATGAAAATTCTAACAGCTTGAAAACATAGATTGCTTGGTCAGAATGTATAGCCCGTTTGTTGAAAATACACCAAATTAAACATCAAATATATATATTTTTTGTAAATTGTATAACATGATAAATAACATAATTTGTGAAATATTCATAAAACCCTTACCAGTACACTTTACAGTAAGATTAAATAACATTAAAGTTTTAACACATTACAATAAACATATACAGTAGGTATAAATAAAAAGTTTGGTGTACAAGAAGACGTGTGGTATAACATCGGAGACAACTTGATGTGATCTGACGAAAAATAAAGCACCCTGACATCTTTGACATTTGTAAATTTATATAATAGTCACGTAAGAGTGCTCTCCCTTCTTCAACATGTATATACGGTTGTTCACTACTATATTTTTCAAGAAGCTACCGCAGCGGTTATTTCCCCTGATTTCCCAGGCAATTTCACCTTTCTTTTGTAATTTAACGAAAAGAATGAGGGAAAAATAAACAGTTTTCAAGCCCCACTCCCTAAAAAGTGCTATGATATTTTCCAAGACTTAACGATATTATTACATTGATATTATAGATTGTTTAAGTCCTTTTCGCGCTGGAGATTATTTTTCGCATTTTAGTTGATTTTCAACTTTGCGCAGGCGCCGGCTTTTCACTTCCGGTTAAATACATGCTGCAGTTTCGTCAGATTGACATTGAATTATTTAACATCTTGAATTGCATAATCTAAACTGAATTTTATTGAAATTTTAATTTCAAACACATTCGTCAAAGAGATACATTTGATATATTGTTCACTTAAGTCATGTCTCGTCTCCTTAACTCGATTGGAACCATTGGTGTAGGTCTAGTCGCCGCCGGGTCAGTCATAAATTCAGCTTTATATAATGGTATGACCTAGTATTTGTTTACAAAATTAACTTGAAATGTGTAAAATTATGTTTTGTTATGATTTCTTGTAAGTTCAATTGTCTAATTGTTGCTCATGCTTTATAAAAATTATCCTTTTGCCAAGTTTTGGTTTGGATATTAAAATAGTTTTCTTCAAACGTGACACATACCAGCACCTGGTCCAAATTATATATCAGACGTTACGGGCTTGTTATAGTTTATGTTGGTCAAGCCAAACGTTTAATCGTTATTGCATGTACACGCAAAGCATCATTAAATGTAAAAAAATGTCTTATTTTCTTACGTTACAAGCTCGAGTCAAAGGTTTTATTCACCAAATTTTTAACAGAAAAATGTACACATGCGGATGGAGCATGCCAGGGCAAATATTTCGTTCAAGAATATTTTGTTAGAAACAGTTGGCTCATTTAAATGCTTGCATTCAATTAGCCAATCAGATTTCACATCATTTAAATGCTTGCATTCAATTAGCCAATCAGATTTCACACACTGCCTGATGGCGGCCGCCATTTCAGATTTGTATATCGGCTGTATAAGGAATTTAATTAAATGATACCGCATCTAATCATGAATTCGGATGTGACAGTAATTATTTTGTTAAAAGGTATTTCTTTTTTACTTTTGTGAATGAATATTTCAAAATTAATGTAGTTGTACAGTGACTTATATGTTTTATCGTTCAGCAAGTTTTTCTTGAGGAACATGCTATGGGTTTATGAGCTATTAAGATAAGACTTTGCTTTGCCAAGAAATAAAAATATCTAAAAGCAATGTCATATTTATAGGACTAGCCAGCCCACGTCTGGATCTGGCCCAGTCAGCAGTCCTAAAAACATAAGAGCCTTAATGCCACTGTATACAGTTAACTGTCAAACTATTTTATTCATTGCATCTGTACCAGAAGCTACTTTAAGATCCTTCTACGATACAGATACTGATGGATGCCCTAGTTGTGTTAAAATCTATCATTATCCTTTTAGACTGCAAAGGCAGCAGAGCCAGGAAGCTTGTCTTTTACATGAAGCTATTTCTTATATCCTTTTATGTTTACAAATCTGTAAGTTTATCTGCATTTCTGATTCTATTTATATTGATAGATTGTTTTAATGGACATATATTCAAGATTTGAGCCATGCCTTGACAAAACCAACATAATGCGTTTGCGACCACCGTGGATCCTGACCAGCCTGCACATCCGCACAGTCTGATCAGGATCCATGCTGTTCGCTTACAAACCCTATAACAAGTAGAGAAATTGATAGTGAACAGCATGGATCCTGATCAGACTGCGGGGATGCTCAGGCTGGTCTGGATCTATGCGGGACGCAAACGCATTACGTTGGTTTTGTCATAGCACGACTCATTTTACTCTTCTATAATAATTATTCTACTAATTAATGCATCATCATATGGCATTTTAGTTGATGGTGGACACAGAGCTGTGATATTTGACAGGTTTCGTGGTGTACAGCAAACCATTATTGGAGAAGGAACACATTTCCTCATTCCATTGGTACAGAGACCCATTATATTTGATATACGAGCAAAACCAAGAAATATCCCTGTCGCCACAGGAAGCAAAGGTTTGCATAATTCTCACTTCTGTCATATTTTATGATACAAGTTCATTTATGAATTTGCTTTGTTGGTCATCACTCTCTTGTTATTATAATTTTTATTATAATGTAATAATATTATATGTGACTTATACATATAAATCCCTCATCGATCAATCACCAGCCTATATAAAAGACATGATAGACGTGTACATCCCAGTCAGAAATCTGAGGTCCCAGAATAACTCAATGACATAAGTTGTGCCTAAATCTCGGACAGTACGATATGGTGACAGGTGCTTCCAGACAGCCGCAGCGAAATTATGGAACTCATTACCACCTGACATTAGAGACTGTAATACCTTGCCATGTTTTAAGAGAGCTCTCAAAACACATTATTTCATAAAGTTCTATGGACGTTAGTTCATAAGTCATCATACATGTACTACTTTTGCTATATTATCAGTGTTAATTTTAATTGAGCCTTGATTTTAAACTAAATGTGTCTGTATTTCTTACCATCCTTTACTGGTTTTAGATTATCATTATTGTTTAATAGGTTTACTTAATTAATGTTGTACATTATGTCTTATATATATATACAAATGTATATGATTATGTTTTATCGGATTTTATGTAAAGCACTCTTGAACATTTATTATTTATGAAAAAAGTGCTATAGAAATGTGGTATATAATAATAATAATAATTTTTAAGCACTTGGTTATTTTTTTATTTAAGCAGCAACAATTATGGCTGCAACATAATTTTCTCATTATCAAAAGAAATTAATATCTAATTCAAGTTAGTATTACTTTCACAAATTTATTGTAATTCAGATTTACAGACAGTGTCCATTACATTAAGAATCCTGTTCAGACCAAAACCAGAAGCATTACCACAAATATACACAAACCTTGGTGTGGACTATGACGAAAGAGTGTTGCCATCAATTACAACTGAAGTTCTCAAAGCTGTTGTTGTAAGTGTTAAGAAACTGTGTTTGCTTATGTGCACAAGCATTCTTATATATATATGTGCTAGTGTATTGTTATATACATGTGCCATTTGTCAGTTTTATCCTCTAGCTATGTAAGTCAGGGTATGTTTTTACCTGTATTTGCAACAATGTGTCATGCTTCATGCATTATTACATAAATTTGAAAATTTTTAAGTGTGTTAATCATCAGAAAATTGGGTAAATTTACTTCTAACAAACCAATTAAAACATCCACTTTTTCCAGATGATATACACATTAATGGATTTTTTTAATGAAAAGGTCATGTACTGGATTGAGGAGGTGGGGGGGGGGGGCTTAACAATCTTGGGGAAGTTTTAAGAGCTTTGACCATTAGTAAAGGCTAATATTCTGCCAACATTTTAGGCATTAAAGAAATATCACAAAAACAGAAAATGTCCAGCTTATGAACAAAATGAACTACATAAAACTTTATATGATGTTTATAGCATGTTTCATGAAATTGTCAGTTATACAATCAGTATGTTTTTTGGAGAGGGAAGTAGAAAAGTCAATTGATATAAAAAAAGTTTCACAAAGACCTAGTATTTCATATTTTAGTAACAAAGAAACATTTACAGTTAGATTTGGGAAGTCAGATTTTTGGTTTCTTTTGATTATTACTGCTTTATTATTGTAATCAAGGATTGCATCAGACCTGTTTGTTTTATTTTCAGGCACAGTTTGATGCCTCAGAGATGATTACACAGAGAGAAATTGTATCAGCAAAAGTCAGAGAAGAACTAACAAAAAGAGCAGCCTCCTTTAGTTTACTGCTTGATGATATTTCATTGGTAAGTTAGATTTAATTGTGTTTCAGTGCCAATATATACCAGGGAGCAGAGGCCTAGTGGTTAAGGGGTTTGCCTCTCAATCCAGGTATTGTGGGTTTGAGTCCTTCTCAGTCAGGATAACATTTCCTTATACTGTTGTTGATATAAGTTTCACAATCAAGCTAAGATGAATATGTTCAAACTAAAATGTAGAAAAGCATTAAGATGAATATGTTCTAACTAAAATATAGAAAAGCATAGACATTGGACATAGAATTGACATCTTTTTCAAACAGCTTTAGTAAAAGTAAATGTTTTCCAATTGCTATGAGATTTTGATTATTCTAAAAAGTGGTCTGTATTACAAATATTCAAAGTTTACATGTCAGCTCTTACTGAAATTGACATTTCCCAATTTACATAATTTCACTAATCAAAACACTGCCATTGAAATAATAGTTTCCCCAAAAAGAGGGAAAAAACATTTGGGTATTTATTTATTCTTGACTATGCTCTATCATAATTATTAGTAAGGTATTATATTTTATGCATAATGTTAAAAGTTTATTTACATATTTTACTTTATTTACATATTTATTTACATATTTTGTAGACACATTTAACATTCATGGCAGAGTTCACCAGCGCTGTTGAACAAAAGCAAGTTGCTCAGCAAGATGCAGAACGTGCAAGATATCTTGTAGAAAAGGTCTGTGAAAATTCTTGTTGCTTTGAATTTATCTCAAAATTATTTTGTTTTGAATTTATCTCTAGTTGTAAGCATGGTTTTAGTCCAATAATAATGGTTCTGTTGAAATGTAAGAAAGCAGTGTTTTATTTTACTCCACACCACATATATATGGAGGGGGCTGGATTCCCTTTATGTTATCAGTCTGTTGGTTTGACCTTGGAAGGTCAAATGTCAGACAATTTTGTGACTGCTCACTTTTTAAAGATTTTCTTCAAATAACTGCATCATTCAGGTCACACTGGAAGTTCAAAGTCAGACATTTTGGTGACTGTTCTAAAATTTGATTTTCTTTGACTCAAATGCTCACATCAGCAGGGTAATGTGCAGAAGAACCCATGCTGTGATTGTGTGTGCTCAAGATCAAGATAATCCTTGTAGGTCAACTGTTGGACAATTTTTTGTTCCCACTATAAATGCTTTACCTCTTGATGGATTTTAATATAGCTGTAAAGTCAAGCCCATGCAACCGTTTTGCTGACTTAAGGTCATCTTTATGCTTCACATGTCAGGCAATTCATGTCTGCTTTATAAATCTTATACCCCTTGAAGGATTTTTTTTTAAACGGGTTACAAGTGTTCACCATAACAAGTTGATATGCAGAACCCATGCCACATTTGTTCTGGGTCAAGGTCACACTTGAAAGTTGAATGTCAAGACAAGTTTCTGTCCTCTGCTTAAACCCAATACCCCTTGAATGATTATCTTTGGCTGAAATCAATAAGGTAATGTGTGCCGATGTACCAGTTTATTTCACCCTTGCAGGTCAAATGTAAGACAATTTTTGTGTCAGCACTCTGTGTTCTTTAGTCCTTTCTTCAGTCTTAGCTCAAATGTTTACCTTCAAAAATGATTAATGGACTGAATAAGTATTGTAAGTTCTTTAACTTTGTAAAGCATTTAATTGGTTTGTTAGAAGAAATAAATTAACTGCATTTATTAACATTAAAGTCTTACCTTTGGGTTTGACTTTGTTAAATCTATTTTTTTTTCTTTCATAAAGGAAGGTATGACATTTTGAGTGTTAATATAAAGTTGTGTCCAGGATAATTTGATGCAATAGTTTTGTCAATTTACAGGAAGAACAAGTAAAAAAAGCCGCCATTATTCGAGCGGAAGGTGAATCACAAGCAGCTAAACTTGTTGCTAGGGCCATAGGAGATGCAGGAGAAGGTCTTGTAGAACTTAGAAAAATTGAAGCAGCTGAAGACATTGCCTACCAACTATCACAATCACGGAATGTTAATTACCTCCCTTCCGGACAGCAAACTTTATTAGCTCTACCATCACAGTAAATAAACCCAAAGGAGGAAAAAGACTCTGAACAATTGAGAGAATTGAAATAAGTGTTCTTAGAGATTTACACACAGTATATTGTATATTATGAGACAGTTATGCTTTACGATATATTGTAATGTTAATGATGAACAGATTTATCTATAAGAAACACATACTGAGAAGTAAATCCACATACTTAAGTTGTATATATATTTATATATAAAACAATATATATAACACATATTTCTCTATTATTTTCATATGTTTAAAGGGTTCAAGGGATAAACCTTTAAAGTTATTTGTAGGTTTTACTTGCCAACTCTCTATATTTTTAATAGATCAAAACTAGTGAATGATTTCCATAGATAATATCATATTCTACGGAGATACAGAAGTTAAGAGTAATATCGGATGACAAAATTCTTTGAATAATTGTTTCTGTGTGAACTTTAGTTACTTATATAAGATGTAATGCCTGTTCTGGAAACCAGCCATAAAATATACATGTGCATGTATAATGAAAATGATTACCTCTTTTAATATAGTGAGGTTTATGATAATTCTTTTTTAATGATGTTTGAATGTGCTGGTAAAAAATAAACCTTGAGAAAGTTACTGTCTTTATTTTGTTGATGATATTCCACATAACAAAAGTCTTTTCTGTTATGTTTTGAATGTTAGTAATGGACATGTTTATGTTTTTAGCTTAACTTTTTTCGAAGAAAAAAATATAGACACATGTATTGTTACAGTCATGTCTGCATTCCTGTTTCCGCCAGCAAACTTTAACCTTGATCATAACTTTTTAAGTTTTAGGTGTATTGTCTTCATACTTAGCCACAACAACCATTTAGACAAGACCTTGAAGTAGACAAAATTTGGCCTTCATTCATAAATGACCTTGACCTATAAGGTCAAATTTCTTATTTTGCTTGATTTTTAGCTCACCTGTCACAAAGTGACAGGGTGAGCTTTTGTGATCGCTTTTCGTCCGGCGTCCGTCCGTCGTCCGTCCGTAAACTTTTTCTTTAAATGACATCTCCTCATAAACCACTAAGCCAATTTCATCCAAACTTCACAGGAATGTTCCTTTGGTGGTCACCTTTAAAAATTGTTCAAAGATTTTAATTCCATGCAGAACTCTGGTTGCCATGGCAACCAAAAGAAAAAACTTTAAATATCTTCTTTTAAAAAACCCAAAGAGCTAGAGCTTAGATATTTGGCATGAAACATCTTCCAGTGAGTGTCTACCAAGTTTTGTTCAAATAAAAGCCCTGGGTCAAAATTGGCCCCGCCCCAGGGGGTCATTGATTTTCCCTATATGCATATAGTAAAAACTTAAAAAATCTTCTTTTAAAGAACCCATAGAGCTAGAGCTAAGATATTTAGCATGAAACATGTTCTAATGGGTGTCTACCAAGTTTGTTCAAATAAAAGCCCTGGGGTCAAAATTGGCCCCGCCCCAGGGGGTCATTGATTTTCCCTATATGCATATAGTAAAAACTTAAAAATATCTTTTTTAAAGAACCCAAAGAGCTAGAGCTTAGATATTTAGCATGAAAACATGTTCTAATGGGTGTCTACAAAGTTTGTTCAAATAAAAGCCCTGGGGTCAAAAATTGGCCCGCCCCGGGGTCATTGATTTTCCTTATATGTGTATAGCAAAAACTTAAAAAATCTTCTTTGAAAAAAACCCATATAGTATAGAGTTTAGATATTAAGCATGAAACATCTTCTAGTGAGTGTCTACAAAGTTTGTTCAAATAAAAGCCCTGGGGTAAAAATTTGCCCCGCCCCAGGGGATCATTGATTTTCCCTATATGCATATAGTAAAAACTTAAAAAATCTTCTTTTAAAGAACCCAAAGAGCTAGAGCTAAGATATTTAGCATGAAACATGTTCTAATGGTTGTCTACAAAGTTTGTTCAAATAAAAGCTCTGGGGTCAAAATTGGCCCAGCCCCGGGGGTCATTGATTTTCCTTATATGTGTATAGCAAAAACTTAAAAAATCTTCTTTGAAAAAACCCAAATAGCTAGAGTTTAGATATTAAGCATGAAACATCTTCTAGTGAGTGTCTGCCAAGTTTGTTCAAATAAAAGCCCTGGGGTCAAAATGGGCCCCGCCCCAGGGGGTCATTGATTTTCCCTATATGCATATAGTAAAAACTTAAAAAATCTTCTTTTAAAGAACCCAAAGAGCTAGAGCTAAGATATTTAGCATGAAACATGTTCTAATGGGTGTCTACAAAGTTTGTTCAAATAAAAGCCCTGGGGTCAAAATTGGCCCCGCCCCGGGGGTCATTGATTTTCCTTATATGTGTATGGCAAAAACTTAAAAATCTTCTTTGAAAAAACCCAAATAGCTAGAGTTTAGATATTAAGAATGAAACATCTTCTAGTAAGTGTCTACAAAGTTTGTTCAAATAAAAGCCCTGGGGTTAAAACTGGCCCCGCCCTTGAGGTGTCATTGTTTTTAACTATATGTGTATAGTAAAAACTTTAAAAAATCTTCTTTTAAAAAATCCAATGAGCTAGAGGTTAGATTTTAAGCAGGAAACATCTTTTTTTGTTGGTGTCTACCAAGTTTGTCCAAATAAAAGCCCTTGGGTTTAAATTGGCCCTGCCAAGGGGGGGGGGGGGGGGGGGGTGCGGAGGTCATTGTTTTTCATTATATGTGTGTAGTAAAAACTTAACATCATGAAACATCTTCTAATGGGTGTCTTCCAAGTTTGCTCAAATAAAAGCCCTGGGGTTTAAACTGGCCCCGCTCCGGGGGCCTATATACAGGTGAGCGACCTCAGGGCCATCATGGCCCTCTTTTTGCTATTGGTGGCTTTAACTTTGTGATATTTGAATGGATTGTCTTAAAAACTTGAACACAACAATCTTTTACGATAGACCTTCACTCATAAATGACCTTGATCTTATAGATCATATTGTTGAAATTCTCTAACTTTTTGCTGTAACTGGCTATGACTGAGCTGAAATCATGGATGACCTTGAAGGTCAAATTATTGACTTTTCGCTGATTATTGCTATAATTGGCTGTAACTTGGTTATTTATCTATGGATTATCTTCAAGCTTGTTCAAAACAACCATTTGGACAAACCATCTAAAAGTTTGAACTGACCTTGAGCATTAAATGACATTGACCATCAAGGTCAAATAATTGTATTTTGGTGTTTGTCATAATTCTGTTATTAATGTACGAATTTGATTCATATGTGCACAAAACAGCAGTTGTGACCAAACGGACAAGTTCAATAATTTAGATATGACCTTGACCTTTAAATGACCTTGACCGTAAAAGTTAGATGATCGTATTTGCATATATTTGCTTAACTTGTTCATGTATCGAAATGATTCAAATTTGGTCAAAACAAGTGTAACTAGATAGACCTATTAAAATAAAAAAAAACTTATTTTTTCTTTAATGTTTCTTTAAAGATTTGTTTAAACCTTTGACGTGTTTGCTTTACGAAAAGCGTTGCCCCCACCCGGTGGTGTTTTAAGCTCACCTGTCACAAAGTGACGTGGTGAGCTCTTTTTGTGTGGCGTCCGTCCCTTAATTTTTACTTTAAATGACATCTCCTTATAAACTGCTAAGCCAATTTCATTTAAACTTCACAGCAATGCTCCTTTGGTGGTCACCTTTAAAATTGTTCAAAGAATTTAATTCCATGCAGAACTCTGGTTGCCAAAGAAAAAACTAAAAATATCTTCTTTAAAAATTACTCTGTTTTTTTAAAAAAAAAAACCCCAAAGAGTTAGAGCTTAGATATTTGGCATGAAAATCTTCTAGTGAGTGTTAAATTTTTA